CAGCCAGCGGAGCGGGTGCTTGTGCACTTGGTTGTTGACTGAGGGACTTGTGTCTCACAGCTCCTCGGGCAGCTGCTTACTCATGTTCCCAGCCCCTAGCAGAACGGGTGACGCTGGTGCGCACAGCCACTCTGGTTTTCTCCTGCACAAATGAAAATGTAAACTAATACTAATGACAGTAACTGATAAGGCCTAAAGCGCATAGCATGTGTCAGGCCCTGTTCCAGAAACATAACACCTGAGAAACCATTTGATCTTTGGCCACATGCCAGGGCTGTTCTGTCCTCTGCCCATGTGGAGTGCTGGGGGCCCTCCATCCCCACTTTGGACGGGGATGCCTCAGGGTGGGTGGCTGGAGCAGCTACCCCTGTGTGTGCACAGCCCCAGGGACAGTAGATTTGAGGAGGCGGAAGGAAAGGCAGGCTCTGCCCTTTGTCGCTGCGTCGCGGTGCATGCATTTCTGGTCGCTCTGCCTGCGTGGATGATCTTCAAAGCAGGTAATTGGAACTAAGTCAGTCAGCTGTGGGCTGCACATCCTGGAGTTGAAGGCCTCCACTGGAGGACTTGGAATTCAACCTGGAAAGCTCCAGGGAGCTGGAGCCACTTGGGGAGAGCTGTGCTGGGTGAAACGTTTCTTGTAAGTAGGTCACAGGAAAGAAAGGGAAGCCCCACAGGCTTCCTCCCACAGTGTGTCAGAAGAGAAAGTGGGGCAGAGCCTGTGTGAGACCCTGAGAGGTGCCGGGGGCCCAGCTGCAAGCTTTGTCCTGGATCCAGAGCTAGGGACACACGGTTCCATTCCTTGCCTTCCTCTAAGCTCCAGGGTAGGGCCCACGACCACCTAGACACCGCCTAGACCCACAGCAAACCATTGCCCCACCAGTGGCTTATGGCAGCATCAGTTGAGCTATGAACACGCTGAGCTCCACGCTAAATGCTGTGTCTTATCTCACTTAATCATGGCAGCACCCCTCTGAGTGGAGTTATTGAGTGTCTCAGTGGTTTCTGTTTGTGTGTGTGTGTGTGTGTGTGTGTGTGTGTGTGTGTGTGTGTGTTTTATCTGGTTTCTATGATAGATGTTCCTGGGAGAGTCTGGGAGGACAAACCAGGAAAGAGGAGCAAAACAGCACAAGGAACTAGGAGGGACAATCATCTTTCCTATGGGGGCCCCCGGGGTCCCTTGCTCACTCCCAGGAACAAGAAAAGATGGTTGATTATGGTTTCTTAAATGCGTTGCAATTAATTCCTCTCCAGTTTTCTGGCACTCTAGGGCTTAGGCTGGCCTATAAATCTTAGTCCCAGGTTAGTTGTAAAATCTTGATTTATCTCTTAGAATAGGTGTGCTAACACATTAGTTGGCTTGAATTATTTAAAGTTATCTCGGAAAGGTCTTATTTCTATTGCCCGTCCTGATTTGCACTTTAAATATAGTTCCCTGTAGCAATTCACAGGAATTCATGTTGAAAATAGAAAAGGGAAAATTACTTTTAAATAGCAGTTTGGCATATAAGAGCATGATTTACCTTGGAATAGTTCTCCAACTGCACATTAAGGCCAAGCTTTCAAGAATATTTTTTTCCCCACTGAATTTGGAAATTAATATGAAGCCAAACAATAAATATCCAGCCCCAGGTCGCCACTCCCTTTGGCAGAGTTGGGGGACCCTTTCCTCCTTCCTTCTTCCCCCAACCCTGGGCCACGCAGTCGTAAAGTCCCACTGTGTAACAGGTAATTTCTTAACCTCATTTGCTAATTTTTCCTACTTTCTCCTCTAATTTTACCGTTTCTCCTTCATTTGCACCAACTGTGAAAGCCAGGATCTTAGGGGTAGGAATTTTGTTAAGGATTCATTATTTTAAGATTGGGTTTATTAGTGGTATAGCATATTCTGTGCTTTCAAAATGCATTTGGTTCCTTGGTGATTTGTTTTATTTAGATTACAGAAACACAAAGGAAAAACCAACTAGTATTTTTTTATGTTTAATGAGGATTATCTTGCCATGTGATTTGCTCTTATACCTGAAAGTAACTGATGCATTTCTTACCTTATTGCTTTATTTATTTATTTAGTAAGGTTTATGCCTAACGTGGGACTTGAACTCATGACTCCCAAGATCAAGAGTCACACGCTCTACTGACTGAGCCAACCAGGCACCTCTTTGTTACTGCTTTAAACATCATACACTTTATTTCTATCATGGGGGAAAGGAGTTCTTAATTTCACAGCAGAGTGTGATAGGGACAAATAACAGTTTTCTCTGTGTGTGTGTGTGTGTGTGTGTGTGTGTGTGTAGGGTAAAGAGTAAAGGGTATTTTAAATCTAGGCCTTTGTGGTTTTGGAGGGAACTAAAATCTAGTTTACTCTTGCTTCAGTTAAGCTTTGCCTGAATAGAGGTATGCTGTCTTGATTATGACAAGGAGGATTTGTGGAATTCACTTGATTTATTAGGAATGTCTTCCCTCCATGTGATTCCTACATGAAACATTATGAAATGACATTAGCTGCTTACTTATGAAAGGTGACGTGTTAGTAACTTGCAGAACCCATGCCAAATAAAGACCTGTTTTCTTTAGTATTGAGTCTGCCTTCTAAAGGGCTTTTGTATTTGACATACTCTTCCTTTTACATAGCCATCTGGCCTGCAAAAAAAGTGAGGGAAGACTAAATCCTGGTTATTAGATGATGAGTCACTGAACATGTTAAACTGAGAAGGGTTTTTTTTTTTGTTTGTTTTTTGTTTTTTGTTTTTTAAATCTTGACAAAAGAGGGAATTTTAGCCCAGAAAGCTTTAACTGTCTGTGTTTGGAATTAAGAATTGATGGAGTTAGCAGAGATGGATTTTGGACTCAGAGTCGTGTCTTAGATTGACCACAGTTGTTATATCCTGCAAGTTGTTTGGATGTTCTGTTTCTTGGAATTCTGTGGTGCTGAGTGATATTAACATGTTGTGACTTCCCTACTAATGCTCATTAGTAATTCTATTTTTGGTATCTTCTTGAGGGTTTTAAAAAATGTGCCTGTTAGTTTGGAGGTAAATCAAGTATGACAAAACCAAAGAATCAAATACCCAGAAGCAGAATTTAAAATGCTGTTTGGGGTTAAATCTTTCCTCTCTTCTTAGAATTTAATGAATGATTTGGGCTTTGTGGTTGCCTTCTTGTGTGTGTGTGTGTGTGTGTGTGTGTGTAAAATGAGAAAGTAGAGCAGATCCTACTTAGAATAAATTGTTGTTGGGAGGACAAACTAAATTTCTTCAATTTGCTTGGTGGATTGTACCTTGTGGAAGGAGTAGACAGCCTGTAAATGATGGGATCCCAGTGCCATTGTAAAGACTTGTATTGATTGAATAATTGATTGATTTATGAGTATTTATTGACCTTCCTCTGTGTGCTGGCTGTGTGGCAGGCAGTCAAAACCATATTCCTGGGCACCTGGGTGGCTCAGTGGGTTAAAGCCTCTGCCTTCGGCTCAAGTCATGATCTCAGGGTCCTGGGATCGAGCCCCACATGAGGCTCTCTGTTCAGCAGGGAGCCTGTTTTCCCCTCTCTCTCTGCCTGTCTCTCTGCCTACTTGTGATCTCTGTCTCTGTCAAATAAACAAAATCTTAAAAAAAAAAAAAACCCATTCCTGCCTTCTGGGAGCTTGTATAAGACAAGAAATAAATAAATAAATATAAATATGTATTATGGTGGTGAGTGCTCTGGAGAAAAAGAGTGAAGAAGGTAAGGAGGCGTGGAGTTGGGGATTATTATTTCTAGGAGGTGGTCTCAGGGAGGCCTCCTGTAACATCTGCTGTTGTCTACATTCCACATGTAGAGGTTCATTTAGGTTACATTTTCGATTTCCCCCTGTCTTTTGAAATGTCATCCTGGAAATGGAAATGATTAAAGGATGTCAGTCATTTGCATCTTCGTGTGAATGTTTTCCATTATTTCCTTTGAGCACATGTTAATGGAGAGAGAACTGGAGGCAGTGGATGTCTGGGGGTGGGGTTGGGTCTGGGGTGGGGGTGAGGGTGGAGGGGTCCGAATGAAGGAAGCTGTCTGCTGCTTCTCAGGAGGGTCTCCTCCGTTTTCCCGGGAGACCTACCACCGAAACCCCTTGTACTACATTATTACTCCGCCGAATCAGCTGTCCCAACACTTCATACATGACTGCTCTATGCTGTTGCCCATTTTCTAACTGGAGAAAGCTAACTCTATGAGGTGCTTTTCTTTTCGCTCCTCAGGAGAAGTGCACCAAGTTAAAGTACATTATTTTTTTGTCTGGTTAACCTTCCTGACTGTGGTGTTTATTATTTTGCTTTGTATTTTCAAAGTCTTCCTGTCATGTTCTTGTTAGTGTTATTATTATTATTTTAAATGTAAAGACTAGGTGTGTCTGGAGGGATATCTTTATCCATTTCCGGGCTCCAACTCAAAACCTGAAATCCTTCTAAATAGGGAGTGATTTGAATTCCCTTCCCCCTCCTGGCCCCATTGCGTGAGTGGGCTCTGTGCAGTCACCCATTGTCCGCACCACACTTCTAACCTGGCAGCCCCTGAGAATGAAAGCTTGCCCCAGATTCAGCTCGGGTGCCTGCCAGGCTCTGCAGTGATTGTGTGAGTAGGAATTTGTACCGCTTCCCTCTAGATTCTCAGAAATTCCCCTTCGCAATTTAGAAGGCACCAGAATCAAGCTTGCTGAGAAGGTGTATTTTGTACGCATCTCTTTTTTGTAGTTTATATCCAGAGACACAAATGGTATACAGATTCTAATTTCTTTGATGTAATATTTCTTTCGCTTGGTAGGCTAAGCACATTAGCTTCCCACCGATGAATAATTTCAGGTCCGGAGATGAAGGTGGCCCGCCGGGCGGGCTTGTAGCAGTGCAGCTGCTTTTAAAAATGAGCAAAATATGCCTTATTAAAGAACCCTATTTTTCTCATTTTAAGCACAACTGTTGAATGTGAGAATAAATCTTAATTGATAATTTAATGGAAAAATGTTTTCTTTTTTCCAGCTTTTGCTTTGGTTTCTGAAGATCTAAAGAACAAGGTCAAGCAGTCTAAGGTACTATTCTCGTGATCAAATCTATTCTTCCTGTCTGAGATTCATTTGTATTTTCTTTAATGGGAGCTGTAATGATTTTGTCTTTCAACAGTTAATCAGTTTTTTTTTTTAAATGGATTAATGAAATGTTGGTCAACATAGATTTTTAATCCCTAGTGGCAAGCTACACATAAGCTTAAAGTCCTTTAATAATGGTTTAAGCAGACCAAGTAGGTTTCAAATTTCATTTTAAGAAAAAGTATTTTGAAATGGAGTTAGACATTTTAGAAGTCTTGCTTGGAGGCCGTAGTTTTGTCTAGTCTGACCACATCTGAACTTGGGCTTCATTTTCCCAGCCTGAGAAAGGAGTCTTATGCTATGTCCCTGGGGTCACAAGAGCCTGACTGTCCCTCTCCCTGAAGGTGGCACTGCGTGAGAATCCCCAAGGGTGACTGCCAGGCTCCTTGCATGGTCGGACCCAGGAACCGAGTACCTGGGGGACCAATGAAGACAGGACAACTCTTATCCAAATCTCAGAGCTGCTGCTTTTTTTTTTCATCATCAATTGCTTTCAGGAACTTTGCTTAAAGTTTACCATATAGGCTTTGCACTAGATGAATTTAGCAGATGAGAAAGAAACAGTATTTTTTTTTTTTAAAGAGAAACCATATTTTAAAAATATAAATTGTCTTTATCATATTAGTTAAGGCTCAATTGACTTGATTTTTTAATCCCACAATTAGTATAAAAGCATTTTTAAAAAGGATGTTTCTTTTGTCAACAGAGTATTATCTGTTCTAACTGTGCTGTGCGTTTCCTATACAGGAGCAATAATAATGATTTCCTTTGGTTTTAAGATCCTTTATGGCTATGGTTAATAAAATATTTTCAGACATTTAATTAACTTGATCTTCTCAATGATCCTGTTATTGCTAAGCAAAGCAGATATTCCCATGTACAAGCATACCTTGGGGATAGTGTGGTTTTGGTTCCAGACTGCTGCAATTAAGTGAAAACCATAAGAAGGTGAATACTGCATTAAAGAGAGTCAAATGAAATTTTTTTTGGTTTTTAGTGCATAACCAAAGTTGCTTTTAAACTGTATTGTTGTCTGTTAAGTGTGTAATAGCATTATGTTTAAAACATATACCTGAATTTAAAAGTACTTTACTGCTAAAAAAAAAATGCTGCCCATCACTTGTGCTTTTAGCAAGTTGTAGTCTTTTTGCTGGTAGAGGGTCTTGCCTCACTGACTGATCAGGGTGGTGGTTGCTGAATGCTGGGGTGGCTGTGGCAATTTCTTAAAATAAGACAACAATAAAGTTTGCCCCATTGATTCTTCCTTTCATGAATGATTTCTCTGTAGTGGCTGATGCTGTTTGATAGCATTTTACCCAGAGTAGAACTTCTTTCAAAACTGGAGTCAGTCCTCTCAAACCCTGCTGTTGCTTTATCTAAGTTGATGTAATATTCTAAGTCCATTGTTGTCATTTCAACAATCTTCACAGTATCTCCACCAGGAATAGTTTCCATCTCAAGAAACTACTTTCTTTACTCATCTATGAGGAGCAGCTCCTTATCTGTTCAAGTTTGAGCATGAGGTGGACCCATCTTCAGGCTCCATTTCTTCTTCTTCTTTTTTTTTAAATTTTATTTTTCATAAACATATAATATCTTTTTATCCCCAGGGGTACAGGTCTGTGAATCGCCAGGTTTACACACTTCACAGCACTCACCATAGCACATACCCTCCCCAATGTCCATAATTGAAGTAGAGTTGACATACAATGATACATTAGTTTTAAGCGTACAACATTGTGATTAGGCAAGACTATAATTCTGCTGTGCTCCCCACAAATGTAGCTCCCATCTGTCACCATACAGCACTGTTACAACACCATTGACTGTACTCCCTGTGTGGGACCTTTCATCCCCATGACTTATTCATTCCACAGCTGGAAGCCTATACCTCTCTCCCCCCTTCATCTGTTTTGCCCATACCACCATCAACCTACCCCCAGTTCTATTTCTAGTCCTCTTGCTGTTTCCACCACAAATGCAGTTAGTCACTGCCACTGCTGAAGTCTTAAATCTCTCAAAGTCGTCCTGAGGGTTGGAATCAACTTCTTTCAAACTCCTGTGAACGTGGATATTTTGACCTCTTCCCATGAGTCATGACTGTTCTTCCTGGCATGTAGAATAGTGAATCCTTTCCAGAAGGTTTTCAACTTTCTTTGCCTGGTTCCATCAGAGAATCACCACGAGATCATTCGTCTCATGAAACATGTTTCTTTTTCTTTATTTATCTTGAGTTTTCAAGAATTTTAATTCCAGTATAGTTAATATATAGTGTTACATTGTTTCAGGTATACAATGTAGCAATTCAGCAGTTCCGTATATTACTCAGTGCTCAGTGTACTTTTTTCTTTTTTTTAAAGTATTTTATTTGAGAAGGAGAGAGAGCACGAGCCAGGGAGGAGCAGAGGAAGAAGCAGACTCCCTACTGAGCAGGGAGCCTGATGCAGGACTCGATCCCAGGTCCCCGGGGTTATGACCTGAGCTGAAGGCTGACACTTAACTGACTGAGCCACCCAGGCACCCAGTTTAGCATAATTCTTAAGGGCCCTAGGATTTTTGGAATGGTCAGTAAGCATTGGTATCAGTTTTAAGTCACCAGCTGTGTTATCCCCCCAACATGAGAGTCAGCCTGTCCTTTGAAGCTGTGGAGCCAGGCATTGACTTCTCCTCTCTAGCTCTGAAAGTCCTCGATGGCATCTTCTTCCAGTAGAAGGCTGTCTTGTCTACACTGGAAACCTGCTGTGGTGTGTAGCCACTTTCATCACTATCGTAGCTGGACCTTCTGAAGAACTGGCCTCAGCTTCTCCCCCAGCCCTTGCTGCTTCATGTTGTACTTTCTGTTACGGAGCTGGTTCTTTCCTTCAACCTCATGGACCAGCCTCTGCAGCTTCAGACTTTCCTCTGCAGCTTCTTCACCTCTCTCAGCCCTCCCAGAATCACAGAGACTTAGGGCCTTGCTCTGGGTCAGGCTTTGGCTTAAGGGAATACTGGGGCTGGTTTGATCTCCCCAGACCACTCGAACTTTCTCCATATCAGCAAAAGGCTGTTTCGCTTTCTTATTTGTGTGTTCACTGAAGCAGCACTTTTAATTTCCTCTAAAAACTTTTTCTTCACATTCACAACTTGGCTAATGTTTGGTGCAAGAGACCTAACTTTCAGCCTATCTAAGCTTTCAACATGCCTTCCTCACTAAGCTTAACCGTTTTTAGTTTTTGATTTAAAGTGAGAGATGTGCAACTCTTCCTTTTACTTGAACACTTAGAGGCCACTGTAGGGTTACTAATTGGCCTAATTTCAGTATTGTTGTGTCTTGGAAGAGGGAGCCCAGAGAAGAGGGAGAGAGATGGGGGAACAGCCAGTTAGTGGAACAGTCAGAACACAGACACCTTTGTCATTGAAGTTTACCATCTTTTATGGGTGCAGCTCGTGGCACCCCAGAGCAATTATAATAGTGACATCAAAGATCACTGATTACAGATCATCATAACAAATATAATCATAATGAAAAAATATGAAATATTGTGAGAATCACCAAAATGTGACACAGAGACACAAAGTGAGCAAATGCTGTTGGAGAAAAAGGCACTGATAGACTTGCTGAATGCAGGGTTGTCACAGACCTTCGATTAGTAAAAAACACAGTATCTGCAAAGCATGATAAAGCAAAGCACAATAAAACGAGGCATGCCTGTACAGCAGAGAAAACTTAGCCTCTAAGAAGTTATGTGATTTGACAGGTTACTGGCAATTAAAAGGCACCTGGGTGGCTCACTTGGTTAAGCAACTGCCTTTGGCTCGGGTCATGATCTGGGAGTCCTGGAATGGAGTCAGGTATGGGGTTGGGGGCCTGCCTGCTCGGCAGGGAATCTGCTTCTCCCTCTCCCTCGCCCATTTCCCCTGCTCCTGTGCTCTCTCTCATTCTGTGCTCTCTCTCTCTCAAATAAATAAATAACATCTTAAAAAAAAAACAAAACAAAAGGTGAAGTCAGAATCTCAATTTCCTGAATCCTTGAATTTTTCATACTGTAATTTTATATAGCTGTGTGCATTGTAATATGTGTGTGTATGTGTATGTGTGTTTGACAATAATAAAGCTCATTTGTAATGAATTTGAAGTGCTACCTAAGGGATAGTAATAGGGAATTAAAATTTTGTATAATGAATTGAAAATTACAGCCTATACTTTCAAGCATAGGTTCTAACTCACATTCTCGAATAGGGTAATATATATGTATCTGTCTTCTGAAGTGTATATATATAAATATAAATAGAAACAAGGTGAGTCTTACATCTTCATGTCATTTTTCATGCAAAGGTATTGAAGTCCTTGAGAAATGTCATTTACCCTAAGCAGGGTCGGGCCTGGTTAGTACTTGGATGGGAGAAATGTCATTTACCCCATCTGTGCTTAGGCCATGGAGCCAAAAAAGCAGTTAATCCCTTGAGGAGAGGCAGTAATAAAGTGTCTACTGTGGACCATACCCGAGACTGGGAGCTGGAGAAGAATTCATTTGCAAGGTCACCCAAAGTCTGTAGATGAATCTGGATGTGGGAGTTAAGGCTCTTACCAACAACCACGTTAACGTGGGATTATCATTTGTTGATCACCCTCGGCAGAACTGATCAGGACCTGCCCCACCAGCTTGCTCAGAAGCAGCTGCCCTCCCACCCCCTCCGCTCACTGCTTGCTTTATTCAGGGGTGCTGGAGGGTCCATGCAGCACGCTTTCTGGAATGCAGGCAGTGCTGCTTCGGGCTGGGGGCCCGCCCCACACATCAGGGCATCTGGTGGCTTCACGTCTCAATTCTGGGTGCTGCCTGGGCCCTATTGTATCTCCTGGGGCCTGACCTCTGGGCCCAGGCTCCTCTTCTAGGTTCCTGGACTGGAACCAGGTTTCTGACCTAGCGTAGCTTTCAGGGGAGCCTGCCCACCCAGCCTCGTGCTCCAGGCCACAGCACCCCCTCAGCCCTGGTACCCCCCTCAGCCGTGGCCACATACCTGCCTCAACCTGTAGTCTTGCCCAGATTTACACTCTCTGGTAACTTATGATATTGTATCCTGTGTGATGTAGGGGTAGAGTGGGACACTGTGGTTCATGTCCCTCCTCCAGCACTGATAGGCTATGGGATTTACCCTTTCTGCTTCAGCTTCCTCATGTAGGAGATGGGGTAATAGGACCTATATCAAAAAGCTGTTTTGAAGATTGTGTGTGTGTGTGTCCACCACTTAAAAGAGTGCCAGACCCTATTTATATATTTATTATGTTAGTCACCGTACGGTACATCATTAGTTTTTGGTGTAGTATTCCATGATTCATTGTTTGCATATAACACCCAGTGCTTTTGTAATACATGCCCTCCTTAATACCCATCATTGGGCTCAACCATTTCCCCCAACCCCCTCCCCTCTAAAACCGTGTTTCTCAGGGTCCATTGTCTCTCACAAATAGTCTCCCCCTCTGGTTTCCCCCCTTCATTTTTCCTTTCCTTCTTCTAATGTCTTCCATGCTATTCCTTATGTTCCACAAATAAGTGAAACCATGTGATAATTGACTTTATCTGCTTGACTTATTTCACTCAGCATAATCTCCTCCAGTCCCATCGATGTTGATGCCAAAGTTGGGTGTTTATCTTTTCCACTGGCTCAGTAATATTCCATTGTATATACAGACCACATCTTTTTTTTTTTTTTTATAAGATTTTATTTATTTGACAGAAATCACAAGTAGGCAGAGAGGCAGGCAGAGAGAGAGGAAGGGAAGCAGGCTCCCTGCTGAGCAGAGAGCCCGATTCTGGGCTCGATCCCAGGACCCTGGGATCGATCCCAGGACCCTGGGATCATGACCTGAGCCGAAGACAGAGGCTTTTTTTTTTTTTTTTAAAGATTTTATTTATTTATTTGAGAGAGAGACAGTGAGAGAGAGCATGAGTGAGGAGGTCAGAGAGAGAAGCAGACTCCCCGTGGAGCTGGGAACCCAATGTGGGACTCGATCCCGGGACTCCGGGATCATGACCTGAGCCAAAGGCAGTCATCCAACTGACTGAGCCACCCAGGCATCCCGAAGACCGAGGCTTTAACCCACTGAACCACCCAGGCGCCCTGGACCACATCTTCTTTATCCATTCATCTGTTGAAGGGCATCTCGGCTCTTTCTACAGTTTGGCTATTGTGGACATTACTGCTATGAACATTGGGGTGCATATGGCCCTTCTTTTCACTACATCTGTATCTTTGGGGTAAGTACCCCATAGTGCAGTTGCAGGGTCATATGGTAGCTCTATTTTTAATTTTTTGAGGAACCTCCATGCTGTTTTCCAAAGTAGCTGCACCAACTTGCATTCCCACCAACAGTGTAGGAGTGTTCCCCTTTCTCCACATCCTCTCCAACACATGTTGTCTCTTGTCTTGTTAATTTTGGCCATTCTAACTGGTGTAAGGTGGTATTTCAATGTGGTTTTGATTTGAATTTCCCTGATGGCTAATGACGATAAACATTTTTTCATGTGTCTGTTAGCCATTTGTATGTCTTCTTTGGAGAAGTGTCTGTTCATGTCCTCTGCCCATTTTTTGACTTGATTCTTTGTTTTTTGGGTGTTGAGTTTGAGAAGTTCTTTATGGATCTTGGGCATCAGCCCTTTTTCTGTAGTGTCATTTGCAAGTATCTTCTCCCATTCCGTGGGTTGCCTTTCTATTTTGTTGACTGTTTCCTTTGCTGTCCAGACCCTATTTAAATGTGTACCTGATATGACAGCAAGAAATACCTTATACAGCCTTTCAGATGGAACCTTAAGTCAAAATAAAAACAGGAACCATCAACCTTACCACTTTTGTCAGTTAAACTTCTTTTATGGTGTTAGTTGACTTCATATGAAGTAGATGTTCACGATGATAAAGACTAGTAGTTAACAACTATTGAGCATTTTCTTTGGGCAAATGATATGCTCAACGTTGAATTACCTAATGAAGTTCCCACAATGACCCTGTAAAGTAGGTCTTGTAATTATTCTTCCTGTTTACAGATGAGAAACTGAGGCCTGAACTAGTAAGTGGTAGGGGCAAAATTAAAACAAAGGACCAGCTTTTAGCTGAGTCCACTGATGAACACATTCTGACCAATTCACTTCATTCAACATCTAGGGGATGGCAGTTGTTTGCAACTGGGTACAAGATGCCATTTTACTTCTCTTCTTAAAAGATTTCCTATCAGATTCTTTGGAGGATGTTTTATCTTTTCATGAAGGCTTTGTAAATGAGGCAGTCATATGTGGATTGCAAATGTTCATATCTATCGTGTCTTCACAAATAAAACCTACACCAAAGGGTGACTTGGATTTGTCTCTTCCCAGCCAGGGTAGGAGCTGCCTGTGGGGTAGATACATTAGTAAGAAACTGCTTTCCTATCTGAATAGCAATTCAGTTGACTTATAAAACTTTAACAGTGAGCACATTTTGACTGAAACTGATAGTGTAAGAAACATGTGGCAGCAGAGATAATAAAACCACGTGTTTCTTCTTAGGAAGAGCTAAGCCTTTTCACGAGGAAAGCTGGAGACAGAATTTTAAATGTCCTGTCAATTCGTTCATTTAGTCTAATTTTCTTTCTCAAAGGGGAAATTGCTCAAGACCGTTTTGGTTCCATTCAGTTCACTTAATGCAGTTGTTCTTGGATGTTTTATTTTTTACAGTTTACAAATTGAGCCATTCGAAATGGCTAATCATTTCCGAGCTATTGTTTTCAGCCAGTTGGAGTTGCAAAGCTTAATAACAAATGGAAAGATGTGTAATTTTGGTTGATTTTCTTTGGTTTCACAAAGAGATGTGGTAGGATATCCAGTTGATTTCCAGCTGAAGTTAGTCAGGAAACACTGAGTTCAGGGTTTTTTGTTTTTGTTTTTGTTTTGTTTGTTTTGTTTTAAATATTTCAGCTTATGGCTACAGGTGATTTTTGTTGTGGGTGTCACTTGGAGCTCACTCTCAAGTATGCTTTCTTCTGGTACATGTTTTCTGGAGAATATCCCTCTGGAAGACAGGGCATGCATTATCCCACGGGTGGAAAAAAGGAACATGGGGAAGAACTCAGAAGACCTGGATTTTCATCCTGGTTCTGTGGCTAGAATGACTGTTGGACTTCCGGCAAATCTTTTACCTGTTCTGAACCTCCATTTTCTCATTTGTAAAGTGGAGGGTTGGGTCATCTCTCTCTCTTTTTAAAAATTATAATAAAATACACATAACATAAAATTTACCATCGTAAACATTTCCAAGTGTACAGATCAGCAGTAGTAAGGATATTCCTACTCTCATGCAGACAATCTCCAGGACTCTTTCCATCTCACAAAACTAAAAATGTCCCCATTAAACAGCTCTCTGTTCCCCGTCCCTGGCCCCTGGCAACCACCCTTCTACTTTCCATTTCTATGAATCAGACAACACTGTCAGTGGAATTGTACGGTATTTGTCTTTTCGTGTCTGGCTGATTTCATTTAGCATCATGTCCTCAAGGTACCTTGGTGTAGCATGTGCCAGAATGTCCTTCCTTTTTAAAGCTGAATAGTATTCCACTGTGTGTATACACAGTATTTTCTTTACCCACGCCAATGCTATTTGTAAATCTAAACTTGCAAATTTTCCACCATCCTCATCTACTGGCCAAAGCTGTGGCCTTGAAAGGAGCGGGCAGCTTGATCAAGGGATGGGCAGCAGGTTAGGGGTGAATGCTGATCGGCATTTCTGGTTCTGAGGCCAGCGCTGCTTCCCTGAGGGCAGGCTGTGCTTCCGACCGGTGGTGGCGTTTAGAGCATGGGAGATTGCAGTGATTCCGTATGTGCTAACTTACAATGATGACCCGGCTTTGGTTCAACACAGTTAGAGAAGCAGCTCAAGTGTTCCAGTATTTTTTAGTGGGTTTTTCCGAAAAGTCCGTGTTTTATCAGGACTAAGTCAACTGTCACTTGGTCCCGAGACATAACAAATTGGTACCCAACCATGGGGTTCTCCTCCACTCAGTGGTATTTCTATTCTTGAGACAAAGATAATTGCAGGAAATGCTGCTGAAGATAGACACTGTCCTGTGTTTCCCTCTCCGCCCTCCCTCTCTTTTGTCACGGTCCCTTTGGCATTCCGAGGCTACGTCTCTTTGTGGCTGTATCTTGGCTTTTAAGCTGTTCCCGGTTTTGTTGGTAAAGGCTCACAAGTGCCTTTCTCCTTGCAGTCTGTGAAGAAAATTGAAGGATATTTTCCACTATCCAATTGTTATAATTATAGTGAATGGCAGTTGAAAGCAGAAAAGGGCAATTAGAGAGAAAATTCCTTCCTTGTCTGCCGGAGAAGACTGTGAACATGGCAGAGGTAGCTGCTGACACTTTGCACTTTGTCAGAGAAATTGTTTACGAGCCCCTTCCCCGATCCACCCAGGATCAGGATCAGGATTAGGACCAGGTGTTTCTGTGCGCACGTCCGGATTTCTGCGTCCAGAGCTCTAAAGTTCTGAAAGGCCCCTTCCGTGCTCACGAACTGCAGGCTGATTGCCTCCTCGAGCCCCGCTGAGGCCCCCCGTGCCGCTCCTCAGGTGGAAGAGAATGTGGTGGTGATGTTCTGGATGCTGGTATGTCTGAGCCCACAAGGTGATAAATCCCGTCGTTAGTGGGGCTCACCGTCATGAGCCACGCGCTGGCAGCATTGAGCCTGCCTCTGTTTTGTGGGCCGTGCTGGTTTTTAAATGAACATTATGAACCAGTTAAGCCTTAGCTCTCCTCTTCACCGTCTTCCCCCAAATGTTACTGTGTACTGTGCTTATTTTTTTGGTGTTTTGCTAGCCTTGTGATGTGGGGAGATTTATCTTTTTCTCTTTTATTCAAATTACAGAATTTGGAGAAAAGTGGTGTCTCAAGGAAAAGTGACATAGGTAAGTAATGATTTTTTTTTTTTTTTAACTTATGAGTATGTACCCAGGTATATTTCTGGGTTATGTATTATATATATATATATATATTTCAGTGAAATGAATTCTCTTCCTGATTTTCTTTATAAGGTCAGTACTGCCGTGCAAATGTTCTGTCTTGGGCCTGGGCCCACATCTCCCCTCATGTAGACCCGAGGAGAACACTTTTTGCATCAATAGAGTGACATGTGATTTGTATTGGGAACAACAGCCATTATGTTAGATTGAATTCCCTTGACCCTTGTTTACTGAGTTTCCAATAAGGGTGGAGGACTGGGCCAGGTGAACACTGAGGGGGCAATGGGGACAGTAAGACACAGTCTCTGTCATCAGAGGCCCACACTTAGTGGAAGAAAAGGACTCACCTCTGCCTGGGGCCTGATTTCCTACTTGCTGACTTGCAGACACTGCCTTCCCCCATGGGTCAGCTTACCCGCCACACCTGCCAAACCCGTCCTGAGAAAGCTGGTGCAGAAGCAGCTACTCGCATTGTTATAGACACCCCTACCCCCGTCACGGCCCCTATGTATCCTTGTCCTCCCCTTCAGTGTATTGTGAGCCTCTTCAAAAATGTGACCATGACGTCACAGTTGTCGTTGCTGCTTTCTGGCATTGTGAGAAATAGGTTCCAGTATGGTGACAAGAGGACAGACAAAAACCGACATCTATGTGAACTTTGTTGATGTTGGTGGTCCCAGGGTAGGCCATGGGGACTGAGGTAGATCCTGGACAGGAGAGAAAGGGCACACTTTCCTTTCTAGGCCTTTCTTTCACAGGCCTGGGTTCTGCAGAGTCTGGAAGGCAGGAGAGAACCCCTGGGTGGCCTGTGCTGGGGTCCCGGGCATGCATGCCTTCAGCTCTGAGACTGGCATATTGAAGGAGCCTCGTTAGCTCAGTGCTTTCTCTTCTTTATGTTATGATACCCTGGATGACTAGCCACTTCTCCCTTTGTGGAGATGTTCTCCCTGCTGCCAACACTTGTGGGTTTGGGCATTTGTTTTTGTGTTTATTTTATGAGATTTGATGAGGCTCCTGGGGCTCCTTATAGAAAATTATTATTTTTTATTTTTAGGGCTGGGGGGGCAGGGGGAAGGGAGAGAGAGAATCTTAAGCGGGCTCCATGTCAGCACGGAGTCTGATGTGGGGCTCGATCTCATGACCCTCAGAGATCATGACCTGAGTGAAAATCAAGAGTGGGACGCTTAACTGACTGAGCCACCCAGGTGCCCTGAAAATCTGAAGATGGTTGTTAAATGAACTAATGTCAGTAGTCTAGGACATGGGCTTGAAAGTACCAAGGGGAAGTTACCTGGATAAGTAAATCAGCACTCCTGCAATTACAAATGGCAAATCTAGTGATACGTGCTTTGGTATCGGCATATCCAAAAAGACCTCGGGGCCTTATTTGCCATAGTATCAACCTGTGTCTGCAGGCTTGGGGGCGTTGGGAGGTGGACTGCAAAAGCAGCCTCCCAGGAGAATCAGAGTCTCTCCACACTCAGGGCGAGGTGGCCTTTTTCCTGTTTTGGCTTACTGCCTGGTCAGGAGATGCATGGGTGACAGTTACTCTCACCAAGTAGAATACAACTGGAGTGGCTCTTCATGCACGTGTGTGCGCGGGTATTTATCCCTCAGCCTAAACTCCTGAGTCCGCTTGCTGTTCGGCTTTTATCAGAAGAGCTGCACGCTGATTGCTCATCAGAGAGACAGCAGCAGGATGGAGTCTGTGTTTCTGCATTACCTCTGTCCCCGAGGGATTAGTACTTAGTAGACTAATTTCTTATCAGAGAAATTAGTCTATTTCTCTGAGAAATAGAGAACCTTTGATTTCTTTTTCCTTCAAAGAATTACTATTTCTCCTTCAGGGGTCTTTTCTAAGGACCTTCTTGGTTCCATCACCTTTCCTTAATGCTCTGTAGCTTACCATTGGCCTCAGACCCACACGGGTTCTTTCCCAGTCTTGACTGATTTCTTTATCTTCCTCTTCTGGCCCATCACGCCCTTCATTGTCTTCAGGCACTCAGTGTACGACCCCTTTATTCCTCTTTCAACTCATCACCCGTAACTGCCCGATTTGCACCCTATTTCTCAGCCATTCCCAGCTGTTACTATTTTCAGGGCCCTAATTCCACATGCTCTCCCAGACCTTCACTGTCCTCTCTGTTGAGAAGCTTCTCCCACCTCTTCTGTGGGCATCCCCAGGACACAAGGTCCTCATCGCTTTTCTGGGAAGGCCCCACTCTGTGGGGTCCCAGATGGCTCCGTGGCCCTTCCCCTGTTTGAAAGCTATTAATCTAAAGATGCACTCTTAGTGTGCACTTAAATCCTTCATGGTCTGATCTGGCTGAGCCAGCCTCCCCCTCTAACTTTATCGCTGACTGTTCCCTTCATCTTTTTCTCTCAAGTACCTGACAGACTCCCCGGTCACTGACTCCTGATGCTGCAGAGAGAAGGCAGGCTGTGGGCTCTGTGATAACCCTGCTTCCTTCTCCACCTCTGATCTGCCACCCTCTCTGCCTGGGTCTGAAGAAAATTGCTGCATTTTAAAGGAAAAGCAGGAAATGCCCCTTTCCAGAAGGTCTGCTTGCACTTGCTCTCCCTCCACCACCCGCCCCTGCTCCCGTAGTTCCCCACTTAGCTCTGTACTGTAATGGCTGCCTTCTGACCTTGGCTCAGGCTCGCTATTGCTGGGACTGTGCTTCCCTCTCTCAGCACGCCAGAATCTTGCCCTCAGTACAGACTTAGGCACATTTGCTGGATGAGTGCCCAGAGCACGTGTGATCAAGGAGGAGAAGGAAGGTGGTGGTTTCCTAGTAGCAGAAAAAACAAATAAAACCCAGAGCATGTGACTCAGGTGCAAGCAAAGGAGAAGGATTCACTTTTTTCTTCCTGCAAACCCTCTTTCCCATGTGGAAGGACTGTTGTCTTTGTGGGAGCAGTGGGAATTTTGCTGATCTGGTAGAAGAAAAGGCAGGAGTTGATTACTGCAGTATTAACCTTTTTACAGATGGATTTGCCCTTCTAAAAATCCTCTTATGAATTATTTTGAACATAGGGGAAGCCACAAAGAGTGATACAATGAACATCCATGTATCTACCAAGTAGTTTAAGAAATAAAACATTCCTGACATAGCAGGAGCCTTATAACTGTGGTCTTGATTTGGTGTTCTCATGTAATCTTTTATATTTTCTGATCACATGTGATAATATCCACCTTATATATATTTGTGCATATCTTTTCACAAACCTTTGATTTATATGGTTATTCCTTTGTAGCTTGCTTTTGTTTTTCAGTCTGTAGGATTCACCTATAATGTCCATCTGGGGTGATGCCTCAAGTACTTGTTAATTTTCATTGCTGCATAGTATTCCAATTGGTTTATTTTCTTAGTAGGTATTGGAGTTGCTTCAGATTTTTTCCTTTTACACAATCCTGCTGTGAGCACTCTTGTTATATATCCTTGTTTATACATATGCAAATTTCTCAAGGATGATTAGTAGGAGTGGAGTTCCTGGGTTGTTGGGAATGTGCATCTTCAGCTTTATTAAATTTTGCAAAAATTTTTCTCTGAAGTTTATTTCATTTTTAACAAAAGTAAGTCTTTATAACTCCTCTTTTGATATGTCACTTACATTAATGTTTCAGATACAGTAGAACAAATACTACATTTCAGTTGAAACATGAGATACTTGTTTAAGTCTTATCTGTATGTCCTATTTATAAAGCCAAGAAGCTGATTTGAAAGAAGGGTAGGTATGTGGGATGTTCATATTTATATAAACCCCCAAAGGAAAAGAATTAGGTCATATTCAATAGCTTGTTGAACTTTTCCCTTTAAATTTTTTATTGAGTTTTAACCAAAGAGCATTTTGGGTTATTTTTAGGATCTAGATGGCTCACTGTGGAGCTATTTGCTGTATGAATATTTGAGTGATTGAATAAATGAATGGAACTATAGAACTGAACATGAAAACAATAAAATATATGGGATAAAATTAAAATCAGATTATGTCTCTGAGTCGAGGTGTTAAAAGGAGAGGCACATGGTGGGGGGGTTGGTCCCTACATTTATTGTTGTAAGGTGGACTGGAGGCTACAGTTTATGTGAGGTCTGCCTTTTGCCAGTACCCCTGTCTGGGGGCAGGTTGGTGACCCTAGGGCTGTTTCTGTCCATTGCTTTATTGCAAACTCAGAACCTAATGTGCTTCTCCATTGTGGGGACTAAGCAACCATCTTTGCTGGCAAGACCTCCGATTGTCTTCCCCGGTCAGGTGGGCCTAACATTCAAGGGTTTGCTCTGTGCTCGTCATTGCAAGAAAGCTGGCCACCCTGAAGCGAGAGTCTAGGGGGCTGGCAAACACTTCCAGTGTTGTTGTAGATGGGCTTGTATGCCACACTTCTTGTGAAGCCCTGCTCTTGTGGAATCGTGGCTGTTTTCCTGGAGATAACACGTAATTCTGGCCAGGTGCCCTGTGAAGCAGAGTAGAGATTATGGAGTTATTTATTTGCAAGCTCTCGTGACCTGATGGGACGGAAGTCGTCACTGTTGAGTGTCACCTTAAAGAGCCATCCAAAACATTCTTGAGGTGGTGTTATTAGTTTGCTAGGTTTGCTGAAACAAAATGCCACAAATTGTGTGGCTTAAACAATGGAAATGCATCTCACAGTTCTGAAGGGTGAAAGTCTGAGCCCAAGGTGTGGGCAGGGAGGGTTTCTTCTGAGGCCTTTCTCTGTGACTTGTAGAAGGCTGTCTTCTCCCAGGGGCTTCACATCATCTTCCCTCTGTGTATCTGCATCCAGATTTCCTCTTTGTGTAAGGACACCAAATATACTGGCTTAGGTCCCCCACCAACAACCTCACTTTAACTTGAGTGCCTCTTTGTAAAGACTCGGTTCCAAGTAAGGTCACATTCGGAGGTCCTGGGGGGTTGGACTTGAACCTGTGGTGTTTGAGGGATGCCCTTCAACCCATAACAAGTCACGGTGCAAGGTAGGGTTATGTGTGACTCATTAGAAGGCTAGTGGCAAACAAGATTTTCAGCTACTAGGGAGGCTAGTGTTGTAGATGTTTTCCTACTTTCTCACATTTACCAGTCGTGCTTTCGACAGACGCAGGAGCAGGTGCACATTTGTTACTGCAGATTTGATGGAATACAGTGAGCTTATTTGCTAACTTCTAGGAAGGATGTTTCAGAGATCAGTTCAAAAAGAGATTTTTGTCGCTATGATTACATTTAAATGGATTTTTTTTTCCCTAAGAGTTTATGGCCTGAAGGCTTGCCTTGCAGCTTTTCTTTTTTAAACTTGCTTTTAAGTATATTTCATTTGTTGAAAAATAAATACCTGAAATCTTTTTTTTTTTTTTTTTTGGTTCTAGATTTAAAAGGAATTGTATTTGTCATCCAGAGTCAAAGTAATTCTTTTCATGCAAAGAGAGCAGAACAGTTAAAAAAAAGCATCTTAAAACAAGCGGCACATCTTACACAGGTATGTAGTGATGGCTGGGATGTCTGCCTGTTACTTGTTTGTTGTTGTTTTCATTTTTTCCAAAGTACTCCATCTGTAGAGAATCCATTTTATTTAGATAAGAGTAACTTTTCCGACTTGTTTTGTTTATTTAATATCGTCTTGTTTAAAATGTTCTTGTTAATTCCAGATGCTCAAAGCCTCATTTTCTAAATTCTTCTTATTTTTTTAAATTTAAGAGACTTGCATAATTGTGTAGGACTATTGTGGTTTTGTCATAAAGTATGATAAAAAGAAGTGGAAGGGATAACATTATAAAAGCAGGGCTTAAAATAGCAGGGATAATTAATATTCAGAATTTTAGTACCAGGTTCTTTGGCAATTTTCATATTGAAATAACATTTTCATTAACCTTAGTGTTTCCTCCATGAGTCTCTTAATCTGTTTTTTAATTGGATATCATTAATTGAACTTTTGGGTTGATTTATAATGCAATATCCAGGAAGGATTATAGAGAGAAAGATCGACACATGGCAGGTACATATTTTAATAATGTTTAAAATAGGCATGAACTGAATCTAAAGCTGCTATGAATAATGCTGGAGGTTTGGGTAAAGGAAGATCTACCTTCTTGTCTTGCCGTAGAGATGCTTTCTTTAGCGGAGCAAAAAACATTCCGCCAACCCTGCTCACTACACTGCCTTGCTGTGGCCTTCAAGACACGTGCTTGTCTATAGATGAAGGCCATCCCTCAGCTCTGTTGGCAAGAACTCTTTGACAGGAGATGTGTGTCTCTGATGGATTGCTTTCTTTCTGTTGGTGGGTGCTGGGAAATAAAGGATTGTAAATAGCCATGGACAAGTTAGCCTTAATGGTATTCAAGGCTGAGATAGTGCTGAGCATAAGGTTTAGTTGTGCTTAACCTTTAAAGGCTTTACCTATAAAATTCATCCGACCTCCCAGCATCCTTATAAGGACAGGTCCTTGCCTCCCCTCCTTAGAGCGTCACACCTTCTCAAGGGAAAGCAAAGACTAGCATGCTAGAGACAGATTGTTTTTTGGTAATTGGAGATAGATGCTGGTGATGAGTTTAAAATACTTCTTTGTTTGGGAACCCAACTTTGGAGATTTCCTTCTACTAAACCTTGTCTGATTTCGTCAGAGAGACAGACATGCAGCAACCTTGACTGGATGGCTTTGTTCCATATGCTCTGGTAAAGCACTAGTGGAGTGGCCAAATAAAGGCCAAGGCAGAGAGGATGGGGAATCTGTAGCCTGAATAATCCCTCGGTTGGGTTCAGGCAGGCATTAATGGAATTTAGTTCAATTAGGCCTTGGCAGTTACCTCGGATTGCATAATCAGTAATGACACCAGGACAGACTTACGTATCACTTACTCTTATGAGTTAAGAGCTTGTGTATCTTTATGTAAGCATGTGTCCTTGTTCTCAAAAATACCTTCCTTCTCACAGAGGGAATCGTGTCTTTTAAATTATGTATCTTCCCCATTTAATCCAGCTTGTTCTGCTTTTTCTTCCTCCTGAGCACCTTAAACAGAATGGGTATTCAACCTATGGCAGTGGAATTGAATCAAGAGGAAATTGAACAAATTAAAATGAAAACTTGGTTTAAGTAAATTATTTTCCCTATTTGAAATTTTTTGGTTAATTCTTAAATTGATAATGGTGGATCCCTCTCATATTAACTAGAATAGCTATTTTACTTCTCCCAGTGAAACAACAGAATGTGGAGAAAAGAGTTGTATAAAAAGATTGAGTATGAGTTGGTGCGAGGAAAATAGGATCTCTTGAGTAAGTGAATCTTCGAGAGAATATGGAGAAGAAGAAGAAAATTCACTTGACTACATTAACGCAGACAACATAGCAATGAGTTAAGGAAGGTGGGGGTTTCCTTCCACTCACAAATAGTCCCATGGGTGTGTGGGCTGGGGATTGGCAGCTCTGTGCCAGAATCCTTCTGTTTTGTTACTTTACCATCGGCTAAAGTGTCTTGTCCTCATTGGCGTGGTTGGAACCGGTTAACTATCACAACATTGACATTCTGGTGTATGCAGGACAACCAGTTTCCTTTTAAGGTTATGTCCCTGAAGTGGTATATGTCTTTTCTGTCATTTCTCCTTACATCCCACCGTCATGTGGGCACATGTAGGCTGGGAAATGTAATCTCTAGCTGGGTGGCCTTTGGATCCAGTCAAAATGCAAAGAGTTCTAATCGCTGAAAGGAGGAAGGTGATTATAATCACTAAAAGGAAGAAGAGACAAATTGACATCACTGCTAAAGTCAGGACATTGTTTACACACCAAGGACTCCCCTAGTCAATAGAAGAATTTATCTATGAACCTCCCATTCATTCACTCATTCATTCAGTATTTACAGAGCAAAGCACTGGCCATGCAGACATCAGCAAAATGTAGTCCTTGTGCTTGAAGAGCCCACAGTCCAGGAGAGGAGATAGGCCCATACATGGGCAATTTTAAAGCAAGGCTGAAGTGTAGAAAGACAAATACTACATGATTTCATGTGCATGAGATATCTAAAAATAGTCAGATTCATAGAATCAAAGGCCAGGGCGGTAGTAACCAGGAGAGGGGGAAGTGAGGAGTTAGCAACAGGCCGAAAGTTTCAATTAAGTAAGATGACTGAGCTCTGGGGTTGGCACTCCAGCATTGTACTCTGTTGTACACTAAAAAGTTTTTGCCTTGTTGCAAGGACAGAGCTCATGTTAAGTTGTTCTTGCCACAGTACAATAAAAATAAATAAAAAATCAGGCACTAGTGAGGTTAAAGAGGGGGGTGGGAGCAGGGAGGGCTTCTCTGTAGACAACCGGAGGAAGGCAGCCAGGGGAGCAGCACAAGCGTGTTGCCCAGGATGTGGAGCGGTGTGGGTGCCACAGCCCAGAAGGGTAGGTAGGGACTGACTGCAGATGAGCTGTAGGTCTTCTTAAGGGTCCAGGCCTTTCTCAGGGCCTCTCAGGGGATGCTCTGGGCATTTGAGAACTATTTCTTTGAGATCCAAGACATTTAGCATCTCTGGCCCCTGGCAGTACATGCAGGAGGAACCCACAGTCCCTGTTACTACAAGCACTGCCTGTTGAAAATGACTGGCTAGGGGAGAGTCATTAGGGCCTCCTTGTGTCAGCTCTGTATTTTAAAACCATCACTCCGGTGGCTGTGAGGAGGGCAGCTGAACAGACATGAGCCTGGGGTAAGGAGCCTCATCTCAAGTCACTGGAACTGTCCAGGGTAATGCTGCTCAAAGTGGGGGTGCAGACCTCTGCTGGTGCTTCACCACAGGCAGTGTGAGAGGCACGGGGCCAGGAGCGAGGGGTGGAGCTGGCGGGGTGGTGGTGGTAGGGGATGTGAGGCCAGAATGGGGGCAGTTGGGGTGAGGGGTGGAGAAGTCAGGACCAGTGCCCAGGTCAGGCTGAGGTGGGGTGGAGCGGGGCCGCCATCTGAGGGAGAGGCTGGGATTCGTGGGTTTGCAGGGTGCAAGAGGACTGCAGGTTTCTGCCCATGACATCTGAGGTGGAGGTGTCGCATACTGGAGGCTGGATGTTTGTTTGCTTGAAACTCAGGAGCACAGTTTGGCCAGAAGGTGGTGGATTTGGAATTAGGAACATATGTAGGCAGTGGCGGAAAGCTTGAAGGTGCTTCTTCTGGGGGGCAGTGGGACTGTGGGGGAAAACCAGGGTTTGGGGACTGGGCAGAGCATGAGCAGCCCTCTGGGGATGTAGGAGGAGTGCGTGAGACACAGAGAAGGGGCACGGTCTGATGTCAGGGACGCTGAAGGAATAGCCTCTTGAACAGTGGTCGCTGCTGTCCTGTTCCCACAACCGAACTCGTAAGACAGGGTCTCAAAAATGGCCATGCCACTGGGCCATCTTGCTGTGGGGACTCCTGCCCTTGCACTTACTTCGGGAGGTGTCCCCACTCAGAGCACTTTGCTGTTACTGGTGCTCTTGTTATTGTGACTTTTCTTAATGATGGTTAAAAAAGAAGAAAAAAAGAAAAAAGCAAAGCATGTAAAATCTGCCCTCAACCATTTTTAGGTATAAATACTATAAAGCACATTCACAATGCGTAACCAGTTTCCGGAGCTTTTTGTCTTCCCCACAGAAACTGGATGCATACCCATGACACGACAACTCTACATTTCCCTTCCCTCCGCACTTGGTAACCCTTGGACGTTGTCTCTATGAATCCGACGGCTCTATGTACCCCTCGTAAGTGGGATCATAGAGTATTTGTCTTTTTCCGAACAGGCTTATTTTACTTAATGTACTGTCCTCAAGGTTCATCCGTGTTGTAGCCTGTGATGGGGTTCCCTTCCTTTAAAGGGCTGAATGTTTGTTATTGTTACTTTGATAGCCTTGGTCCGCCACAACGGACAGCAGGATGAACACCACTTTCTGGGATGCTCCTCTGGTGTCTCCCACAGGCTCCCCTGCAGTGCCCTTTCTCCTCCAGGGCATCTGTCCTGCCCTCAGACTCCAAAGGGAGGTGAGCCCTGCTCTGTACTTCTCTTTGTATCCCCCACAGCTCCTCATGTAATGCTGCACGTGGACAATATTAGAAACTGCATTTTTCACTGATAGATTTTTCTCAGCTTTTAAAGCTTAGAAAGCAGTTCCATTTCACGTCTGTATTTACCTTTTCTAGCACTTTATTTTATGCTTCTGTTTTCAGTTTGCTTATCCCTAATTTTTATTGTCCTTTCCGTGTACACTTTGCACGTTCCACGTGTTGAGTAGCTGTCTCAGATTGCCACTAGGTGGCAATATTGGTTTTACGTTTAAAGACACGTAATTAAGCTACATCATTAAGCAAACCCTTCTTTTCCAGCATTTAATTTCTGTGATAATAAATGGAGTCTAGACTAAAGCAATAAGGAAACTTCCCTTTAATTATAAGATAGTCTACTTTTCTTATTCTGAAATTCTTTCCTAGGATGGAAGCCAACTGTGAATACCGAGGTAGTTATGACAAAACTTTAATGCTTGG